TTCCAGATACAAAGACATGCTATTACATTAGAACCATAACATTTCACCCCCCAAAGACTCATGCACATCCTTTTATGCAAAAGGCATTTAGTCCATCTGCAAGAGTTGCCAAAGTCCTAACAATTGCAGCATTGCTGAAGAGTCCAAGTCCCAAATCTCTGAGATGAAGGCAAACTCTTAGCTGTGACCCCCTGTACAAATGAAAAGTTAAACACTTCCAACATTCAATGGCACAAAATAAGCAGTACCATTCCAAAAGGTACAAATAGGGGGACACAGAGCATTGGGACCAAAGCAAGTCCAAAATCCAGCAGGGCTAATGTTATGTCCTGTAATTCCACATGCAGCATCTGAAGCAACTTGTGGCACATTGTAAGCTCCAAAGGGCTTGCATGAGTCCACCCCTCTGGCACTTCTGGTGGTTACAGCTTCCACGACTTCTCTCTTAGGCCTGCTTTGCTCCCTCCCTGCAGCTTTCCTCAGATGATCCACGGTCCTGGCTTTTCTAAACTTCTGAGGTCTCCAGGGCACATTTTGCTTCACACTCACAGCCTCACATACTGCCCCCTCAGGGGCACACTGCCTGGCTTCCCAGGCCTTCTGAAATCTGGGTGGAAGCCTCTTGAACCTCAGAACTCTTGCATTCTCCATGCACCTAAAGCCAGGGCCGTGGAGATGATCCCAAGGTCTGCTGCCACCTGGAGCAGTAGCCAAGTTTTCCTCTCTCTTGGCCACAGGGGTCGAGTGCCTGGATCACTGGGCACTCTGAATCCAATTCTAAGGAACAAATTCTCTATGCTGCCGCCATTCTGGAACCTGGTGCAGCCACTGCCGCCATTCTGGAACATGGTGCTCAGCAGCTTTCTTCTCAAGGCAAGGTCTTTCACCTTTACAGTTTTGAGGCTGCAAAGGGTGGAGACTTGCTGCTTCCTGTGATGCCCTCAGGCCATCTTTTCCATTCTCTTGTTCCTTCTCAGCAATAGAGATCTCCTCAGCCTTATCTTTGCAGTCCACAGCTTTACTGGAGCTTTCTTTCTGGCCAAACTCACATTTTAAATCATCCTGCTGGGCTCTTTGCTCTTGACTGTCAATATAAATCTGGCTAAAAGCCCCCAACAATAGCCATGCCACTTCCCCAACATTCGACTGCCTTGAAATTTCTTTTGCCAGATTAACCAGTCCACTGCCGCCCTTAATCTATGTCTTAGGCAAGGTCTCTGGACATGAGTAAAATGCAGACAAGCTTTCTGCCAAGCCATAACACACATCATCTGGAGTCCAAAAGCCAGTGGAGTCCTTCTCCCCAGCAGAAACCTCCTGAACCTGGTCTTTACCTGCAGGATTTCTAATAGCCTTCTGGTTTTCGGAGCTCTGACCAGAATCTCCCAGACAGAACAGCCAAAGGCATTCTAGCACTTCTCTTTCAGGCGATATCTCTGAACCTTTCCGAACACTTCCCACAAGCCATTTCCAAAGGCTCTTGAACCACATGGTCAGATATAGTCACAGCAACGACCCCACTCCTCTGGTACCAAATTCTGTCTTGGTTACTTTTCTCTCATTGCTGAGACAAAATACCCAATGCCCAAAACACAGGAAGGGAAGGTTTATTTAGCTTACAGTTTGTGGAGGTTTCAGTCCATACTTGGCTGGCTCCGAGGCAGAAGATAACAAAGCAACAAGAGCAAAGGGGGGAATGGCAGCCGAACAGAAAACAGCCAGAGCAAATGGGGGAGGGGGAGGATGGCAGCAAGCAGCTTTTTTCCCTGCCTTACTTTGTAAACAGGCTACCCCCACCTAAAGGGTGTGTAGCTCTCACATAATCTCCATGCCTTCCTCTTCCACAGGCTCAGGATGTATACAAAGTAAGCACCCTGGCTTCCTGCTGAGTCACTTAGCCAAACCTCTATACTCCCCAAGTTGACACAATGCATCAACCATAACACCATGGTTCTCCTGGGAAGACCCAGCTGCAATCTCTAGCTCTCTTTGGTCCTCTAGCCTGATGTCAATGCATTAATCTCAGTCCCATTTTTGCACTGATTACAATTACAGACTCCCCCATGCAGGACAGAATGAAAATGGAACAGCTGAGGGACCCATCTCAGGCACATTTCCATTTCCCAGAGGACTTTTGGAGCTCAAAATAGTTTTAAGATTAAAAGGCACAGGTGGCTGGTCTTACCAAGAATGGGAACAAGAACACACAGCACAAAGGGTCACAATTAGCTCCTTGAGAGAGTTAAGTTGTAAAATCCATATTGCACAAATGGCTTGGAGTGCATCAAATGATGGCGTAGTCCTTTGAAACTGATGACTTTGCCTTTTGTTCATACTTGTGTGAAGGTTTAGTCTCTTCAACAGAAAAGGAATGAATAAAACAGCATGTGAGGAGAGAATGCTAACTTGTGTCTGTGCTTCTGACACTGTGATCTTTCTGCAGGCTCAACTCCTCAAGGCCTGCAGGGATGCACCATTCCTAACTTTTGATATTTGTTCACTGTGGACATCTACACAGCCCCCTGCACCCTCCCTTTCAGTCTCCCAGCCTGTGTTTGCATGCTGCTGGACTTCACCAGCTGGTGCTGGCATTTCCTAGCTTGGAAGCAGCTGCAAGGGCAGAGAGAGATTCGGTGTGCATTTGTAGCTGTTACTTTCCAAGCTGGTGGCTCTTTGTGATTCTGTCATTTAGACCTATGGTGGGGTGAGTGACCTACATTAGAGCATAAAGCCGAGAGGATGTCAGCTTCGCATTGAGCTGTCAACAAGCATCTCTTCTGCCACCCTGCTTGTGCCTGTTCTTTGATTTCCTTGTTTTAGCACAACCCTCACCTATGGTGCGCTCGTATAGATGTGACAGCTGACTTCACATCCTGATTTTACTAAACAGATTTCACTGTTCTGTCCTGTCCCATTGTCCCATAAGCGCAACTGTTGGCTGGCCATAAGGCCCTACTTTGGAAATTCAGGTTCTTTTAGAAACGGGCTGTTGAAAAAGTGTGTGTGTGTATGTGTGTGTGTGCGTGCACGCACACACAAGTAAATATCATGGTCTCCATTGCTTCACCTGCATTTTAGACCTGAGATACTGCACATCTTCATGGGTTATGAGGTTCCAAAGTGAGTGCATCGCAGACCCTTCCTTCATGGAAGTTCACTTTTCGGAGCTTAGAGAAGGCAGAAGAGTAAACAAGTTCCAGCCAGCACTGAATGTGACAGTAGGGAGCATGCAGGACATGTTGTAGCACACAGAATGGAAGTGACTCTCCCTGAGGCATGAGAAAGGCTTTGGAGCAGACTACTTACTTCAGGCCTGAGTAGGGCAGAATGAGTAGGCAGCTTTTCAGGGCCCTCCAGAAAATGTGAGATGGGTGTAACACACAAAACTGGGGATGGGGCCAGGGATACAGCTCAGTGGCACAGTGCCTGCCTGGCAAGCGCAAAGTTCTGAGTTCAATTCCCAGTACAAAAACAAAACAAAAAACCCCCCAAATCCCCCCCAAAACTGAGGAGGCACGAAATTCTGCCTGGCATTCAGAAACTACAAGAGGAAAGGTAGTTTGGTGGTGGGGGTGGATCATGGTCTAGAATTAGACTAAACCGAGTCACATCTGGGTTTGACCATGGGCCAGGGACTTCTAGTTTGTTCAGAAGCAGACATTTTATTAGGGTTGTGGCTGAGATTCCGGGAAGAAGTTAGTCCAGGCTGGGTCAGAGAAGATTATCGATAAATGGAGACTCTCTGGCACCTAGGCTTTAGAAGTGGAGCTGAGTTGGTGTGATGCAGGGCAGGAGAAGAAGCTGAAGGGCCAAGACTACATCACAAAGAGTGTTTGGGGCCATCGCAGTCTCCTGTGGGGAATGCTGTGAAATCACATTTTTCCCCCAGAAGAATGTAACTTGGTATAAAAACTTTAATTCAGTTTTATTCAAATTCCTTGACATCCTCCTGCATATCCCAGTCTGTGCACCTCCCCTGTAGATGGTGGGAGCAACTAAAAGGTTTTTGCTGAGTGTGGACTGATCCAGCTTTTATGTTTGAAAGGCTGCTCTGCAGGTGGCGGGATGAAGTTGAGCTAGAGGTAAGAAGCAGCCTAGAGCCAGGAGAATGTGAAGTGGGAGTAGGAAAAAGACATGGTGTTGGGATGGAGGAAAGCTGAGGCTTTTGATGGGTGATTGCAGTTTAGTATCAGCCTCTGGGGGTTCTGATCTCCAGGGTGCCATAAACCAGACTAGGGGAAGCAGGAGCAGGAGAAGCAAGAGCAGGAGCAGGAGAAGCAGGCGCAGGAGCAGGAGCAGGAGCAGTTTGTGGGGGAGGGGACATGATGGTTTCCTTCCAAATGAGCTGAGTCTAAGATCATTCCTAGACAGCTGGGTCTAGAGCTCAGGGCAGAGCTTGGGCTGATTTGGATGAGAGTTAGGGAATCTTCAGAGAACAGATGGTGGTTGCAGGCCCACATATGGATGAAGTGACTCAGAGACAGTGTTGGGTGTGAGAATGCAGAGGGCAGAACTTTGGGGACCCCCTTAATTTGGAGAGCCACTGTGCATAGAGAAAAAGAGCAGATTTGGCTGAAGATGAAGGAAGGGGTCTCAGAAGAGGAAGAGGAGAGTGAGAAATGAAATCATAGATGCCAGGGAGAAAGAACATTTCTAAAAGGAAGAAATAAACAATGTCAAATGCAGTAGGGGGTTAAAAAGAATAGGATGGGAAGGCTGCCTCGCTAGGCTAGTGACCGGGACGTATTGGGTCTAGAAATACCCAGGTGTGGCACATGTAGCTTCAATAAAGTAATTAGTATTGAAATACAGCTGTAACAGGTTGAGAAATTCAGGGTTAAGGAACTGGTGCTGGTAAGAACACGTGTGTGTGTGTGTGTTGAGCTTGTGCATGTGTGCAGGTAAGAAAGACAGATGATTATAACTCATACGTGTCATGTTGGGGGGTATCTTTTCAATGACCTCTCTATATATTCACTTTGTGGTTTATTTATTTCTAGAAGAAATTGCTCAGAATCCATTCTGTGGAAAGCAGCCTCAGAGGGATGCCTGCTGAACAGCAGGAAGGGAGCCCCAGCCTTCCCTCATGCCCTGGAAGCTGTGTCCAGGCAGAAGCTGCCCCTGCTGGCCTCTGCGGAGAACAGAAGGGAGACGACTATGCAGAGCTGCATGAATACTTTAATGTCCTCAGTTATAGAAGCCTGGGGAGTTTCGGCTTCCCTGGGGAGACTGGTTAGCAATCAGAAGCATCTTCTGGAGACACACGCCTGTCTTTGTGTTGTAGATGAAAGTAAGCATCTGTCTTCTCCATCCGCGCTGTGTGTGTGCTAAGAGAATGAATAGCAACTCTTTTCCACCTTCATTCCCTCTACCCTTGCTTTCCATTCCCTCACGGCAGACCCGAGGTGAATGGCTTGAGCCTCAAGCACGAATACAAACTCTAAACAAGAACAAAGACAAACTTGACCTGACTTTTTAAATCTGGCAGTTTGAGCAGATCCTGTAACTCCAAGAAACACATTCCTTCTAGTAGGAACCATTCCTTCTAGGATGACTGAAGTGTAGTCACTTAGAAATGTGCAGTACAAATGTGAGAGCCAAAGGGATTGGTGTGTCTGGGCTGGCAGGAGGAGAAGCTTGTGCAGGAAACTTGTAAGAGTTCCTACTTGCAAGGGAGCCACATCTCCTTTTCCTGTAATGTGCTCAGAGCCCATCAGTGATGGCCAATACAGGGGCTTTTAGGCTCTTCCAGGCACTTGTGGGATGCCCCCAGGCAATGCTTGTCCATTGAGGGAGCCAAGTCCTAGCCCCTGGGCCAATGTCTTTTAGCCAGTGGTTGAAAACAGAATCCAGAGAAGCCTAGATTTTTAAAACAGGGACTCTTGCTAAAGAGGAAAGAAAAGTGTGAAGTGTGTGTGTGTGTGTGTGTGTGTGTGTGTGTGTGTGAGAGAGAGAGAGAGAGAGAGAGAGAGAGAGAGAGAGAGAGAGAGAAAGAGAGAGAGAGAGAGAGTTTAAGAAGCAGAACTCTCACACTAGCTTCTTTGAGCCCTTTTATCTACTCCCTGAGCTCTTCGTGCTGGGTTGGGTGTCTGGACAGTTCATTTCTTTTGGAAGTGCGTTCAGGCTGAATCTAAAGATGTCCTCCTTCCACCATTCCTCTTAGAAGGATGAGCAGGGAGGCTGCAGTTACAGTGACTGATTTTCTTTCTCGGGCAAAGGAACTGAGAAACAATGTGAAACAAAGCTGGCTCTTGTCAGTGGCTAAAGCAAAGAATTGCCCTGCCCCTTAAGAATCATGCCAGGGTTAAACAAGAAGACAGGGCCACTCCTACTCCTCTCTGGATTTCCCCCTACTTTTCTACCCAAGAGGTATGAATTTAGGAGTAGTGAGCTGAAATCTGTCCTGAGCTCCAGTCCTTTAGAAGAAAGATAGACACGTGTAACATGCTTTTGTTTGCTGTAGCAGTTCACAGTATTTTTTCTTGCAAAACTGATGCAAATATGTAGGGACTAGAACATAATTCATGAATTGGAAATTAGCTAAAATGTAATGACAAGAAGGGAGTGGTGTTTTGATTTGGAGAAGATGTACATTGGGCTGAGGTTGGACTGAGTGTTGGGTGTTACTTAACACAATTATGGTAATTGGGAAACGTTTGCAAATACCATTGGGATGTGATAAAATACAAAAGAGCCTATAGATGTTGGAAATGGGTCAGGTTACTAAAATGAGATCCAACTTGACAGAAAATAAATTTCAAAGTGGAATTCACTGAACTAGATTCTCCTGAGAACCAGTGAAGACATCTATTACAAGCTGGATTCCTAAAGACATGTGACGTCCAGGACAGTAGCCACTTTCCACCTACAGCTCTCCAAGCACTTGAGATTGGGTTCATGTGAACTGCGGTAAAATACTCATAAGATTTTGAGGACAATACATATGAATCATGAGAATGTAACTATCTCATTAGTAATTTAAAAATATTGATTGTATGCCAAAATGGTAACTTTTGGATATACTGGATTAAATAAAATGTTATTCAAATTAACTTCATTTTGCTTTTTAAATGTGGCTGTTGGAAAATTTACTGTTGACTGTGTGGCTCTCATGACATTTGTGCTGGGACATGCAGCTCTCGGTTGTAAGCCCAGCCCAAGCTGGTTCTTAGGGACAGTGTCGCTGTATGTCTGTTGGTCTCTGTTTCTTATCTGCTATTCAGAATAGTGTTCGAGGAAGTTTTCCCTTCTTATTAGGTCTGCTGAGAAGTCTCACAGGGGAGACTGAGGTTGGGGACCATGGAGTGCTGACAGAAACATCCCAAATTCCTCTGTCAGTGCCTCGCTGGACAGGCACAGATATTGTGTGTTGTCTCCAAATAGAATACGGTGGACTGCTTTGTGAGATGTACAATGTAAATTGATATTGTTATTGTATTATGCCTCATGACAACATACACATGAGCATTCTTTTTTTTTGGGAGGGGTGGGTACTGAGAATTGAACTCAGGATCTTGCGCTTGCCAGGCAGCCGCTGTGCTGCTGAGCTACAGCCCCCCCTCCCCATAGAAAGGAGAGACTAGGTGGCTTGTTTATTGCTGACAGCTGTGGGTGTGAGTTTTCTTCAGTCTTTTGATTCTTCCCAGTCCTCCTCTGTGATTATAACTACTACTATCCCACGCCCACTCCAAAGCACAACTGTCAAGAGGCCTAAGGGAACCTCACGTGTGACAAGAGCCTGAGGTTTACAGCAGTCAGAACATACTTGCTATTTGGGAAAACTCAATCGCATAAGGTAGTATGTTGGACAGCGCTGTCCAGTTGAACTTTCTGTGACAATGAAAATATTCTATGCTGCACAGCCTAATATCATAGTGACTAGTCACACGTGGCCTGTGGAGCGCTTGCAGTTTGGCGAACGGGACAAAGGAAACTCAGTTCGTGTAAGTGATGAGACATGACTGGGGTTAGCGTACTGGATATCACCACTGGCTTCATATGGAGAACTGTGTTTATAGACTTACAGCTGATAAACACTTGACATGGTTACTGCCAGAAAGGACGCGGAGCTCCTTCTAGTCTTCTAGCGTCCTTCCCCTGAGCAAGACAAAGCACGGGGTCAAAAGCAGGCTGCACATTTATTTACAGCTCTCTCCAGTGCAATCTGAGGTAGCTAAATGACCCAGATCACATAAACAGGGTCAGAACTGTCAAGAAATTTGCAAGTCATAGGTGCTGTGCAGGAGTAGACTCTCCTCACAGGACTCGCCATGGGCTGTAGCTATTCTGTTTCGGGTAGGTTGTGAAGTCCCCTTCTGTGGGACTAAACCACTAAAGGATTTCACAGCAATCAAAAGGGGGTAACTGGTACGTAGAGGACTGGGAACTGGGCTACTTGGTCCGAGTGTTAACCTGTGCAGTGAAGTTTCATGACTTTAGATGAGTCACTTCACTTCTCATAACCTCGTTACAAATATTTTCCAGTTTGTAAAATGGTAAGAGCAAAATCTACTTTCTAGGCTGAAGAGAATGTGCAAAGAGTCTGGTGGACTGCCTTGTGAGATGTACAGTGTTGACATTCTGATTGTATTATGTCTTGTAAGCACATGCACTTAGCACTGCTCAAGATGGCACAGAGGTTTCTGAGGGGGCAGCAAAACTTGCTGAGAGCAACCAAGATATCTGGAATTGTTAATATTCTTAAAACCTGGAAATCAAGGAAAGCTGAGAGCTGCAGATTTAGCCTTGGGATCTACAAGTTCCCTGTAAGCATTCAGGCATTTTGTGTTTTAAATGAGATGGTATTTTTAAAAAGTCAAACATATCTTGGATATTGATGATGTTCTTAGAACAGGGTAACTTTATTGCTTTTTATCTTTATGTTTGCATACATAATTACATTATTTCAAGAGGAAGAGACTTCATAAATGATTTATTTGCTCCAGGTGGGTGAAACAGTGGAAGGTTTTGCAGCGGTTGACATACAGTGAAAGTGGAGGAGGGGCTATCTTCCCTTTGCACAGTGTAGAGTAGGGTGCTGAATTCAAGGTGTGTGTCCAAGCAGGCTGTCCCTTCACTTTGTTAGCTGTGACACAGATTCAGCAAGGCATCACCCAATATATCAATGTTACTATAAACATAGTTTAACTTGTGTTCAGGTTTTACCTTTGGTTTTATAATTTTGTAAGTGTTATAAGCATAACATGTCTATGTGATATGTCTGAGTATAGTTAAGAATGTTTATTATAAAAATAATTGTACATTATATTTTTAACGCATTCGTTAACAGAAATAATGCCAGGTTTTTTTCGTTGGGAGGCTCTGTGAGAAGCGTATTTTTCCTTTATATGGGAATGCATACTACTTGAGTTTGAGAAATACCTGTGGGTATACATATCTTTGGATAAAATTTAGAACTAGTTTATTAATTGTTTCACGCTGGAAAAACATAATTTTGAATCTCTGTCTTTATAAATTGGTAGAATAGTTCCCTCCCCATGTAACTGTGAAAATGAAGTTATAAACCAAGAAGTGTCACATGAGCAGTGTATATGCTACCTACAAAAATTATAGCCCACATATAAACCGTACTGCTACATGTTTAGCAGATATAGAAGGGGCTTCAGGAGTGTATGGATGGTGCAGACAGATTTAAAATCCCTGGTTGAAGTTTGCATCATTCAGATGTTGGTAAGGTTCACAGACACCAGGAACAAATCATGCATCATGAAAATGTTTTCTTCCTCTTCATTTTCCACTTTCTAGAATATCAGGTTCGGTCATCAAGCTTCAAGAATTCAGTATTTAAATTTGTTGAAGTCATTGTAAATCTCCCAGGGTTCACTGGTCACGTTTCAGAACAGAGGTGTCTCAATGGCCTTTGTCATACCAAGCTCATGCCTGCGGAGCTTTGTGCTCCTCATACTGGTGGAGTGGCTGTCCCACTCACCTCTTCCAACACAGAGCCTAACGTTTTTGTGCGTCCCCAAACTAGACTGCTTATTCCTTGGGCCCCTCCTTAACTCACTGTAACCATTATCATCTTTGTGTTAGTTTATAAATTCCCATGGTTCTGAGATTCTACTGTGGTGTAGATCTAAAATGACCCCAAAGCGTCGTGTGCTCGGAAAGTGACTGGATGATGATGGCGTCATAGCTGGCTTGCTACTGGGAGGTGGGGTGTGGGTGGAAGAGGCGGGTCACCATGGCCACGGCCTGCAAGGGTACAGGCTCTCCCCAGTTCTCCCCTTTGCTCTGCTTCCTGGGAGCCATTAGCTGAGCAGCTTTCCCCGCACTACGTCCCTCTGCCATGGAGTCAGTTGGAGCCAGCCAATTATGGACTAAGAACTTAAACCGAAGTAAATCTCTCTTTTCAATTGTGGGCATCAGGGGTTGCGTCCCAACAATGAGGGAAGTGACGGAGATGGACTGAGTGGTATAACATAGCTCTGGATTTTACATGAACCTCTATTTCTAGCTGTTTGATTCTAAGGCTTACCAGGGCTGAGTTTCCTCCACCTCACTCACACACGACATAGTGTTAGGTGAAATAAAGGTGCATGACCCAGTGAGTTTAAGGTGGGCTAACTCCGCTAGGAATAAGCAATATGTAAGTTTCCTCATCACCTCAGCAATTTCTGCGAGAATGGTGAGGTTAGAGAGATCTATAGGTAGGATATATGGGCATTCTTTCACTTTCCTTCTCTGCATATAGATTTGAGAAACCCAAGAGATAAAAAAGAGGCCCAGTGACAGACTCATGGAATAACAAAGGTAAGGGGACACCAGAAGAGGTGGCTGTGGTGTCATGTGGGATTGGTTATTTCCACAGGAGACTGAGTTTCATATGGGAAAGGGAAGAACAACCTATATAGCAGTAAAAGAACCACATCATCACTTCTGAGCTTCAAATAGGTACAGGGTAATGCTCAAATGT